GTCTGGAGCGCCCCGGGGCGCCGAGGGCCAGCGCGCATGCGCACACGCCGCCCCGCCCCCCTCTCACGTGCTGCTCAGCGTGCGCCCGGACATGTGCGCGCGCGCGTGACAGCGCCGCGGCCGGCCCCGGCGCCCTCGCCCCGCGCGGCTGTACTTTGAACCCGGGCGTGGGAGAGCCGGGCGGGCCCGCGGGAGGATGATATCATCGGCAGCTTTATCGCTAGGCAACCTGAGAGGGCTTCTCGCTTGGCAGTCGTGGCGCGCGCTGACGCTGTCGGGGCTGAGGACCGGAGCCCCTGCCTCCGTGCGCCCGCCACGCAGCGGCCCCGCGTGCCAGCCTCTGCCGCTGAGAAGCGCGCACGCACGGAGCCCGCAGGTGGGCCGCCCCGGCCCGTGTCCACAGAGCCCGCCGCGGGTGCGGGCCCGTCACGGGCGGCTTGCACAGCGACCTCGGGGCTCTGCAGGTCCGCGGAGGCCTGAGGTGCGGTTTGCTGGGTCTCCGGGAGTCGGAGACGGGTGCTCTCCCGCGTTCAGGCTGTTTCTCTAAAGCTGCGTACACAGGCACAAGTTACTACGGAGCTCCGTGGCTTATACGCAGTGCCCCTGGGGTGCGGCACGCCATAGTCTCTGTGCGCACCCGTGCGGAAAAGGCCCCAAAATGGAAGCCTTGGCTGAAGTTTACACCGCCCTGAAAATGCCCCGGGGGAAAGCCGCAGCACGTGGCTCCTCGTCCTGCTTGCTCCGTGCTGGACGCTGCCCGCGCCCCCGGCCGCCTGGAGTGCGGTGGTCCTAGGTCTCTTCTTTCACGGACCACCCTGAGAGCACAGCCAGAGAAGGCAGAGGCAGGGGTCGAAAGCTCCCCAGGTCACGTGGGGTCGTCCAGGCCAGGAAGGGCACATTTCTGGATGCCTCCAGAGTGAGCAGGCAGCAGATTGGTGGGTTTTTTGGTTTGGTTTTGTTTTGTTTTGCACGGGGCGTTGAATATTATTTCCCCAGAACTGTCATTCTGTGTCTCGTGATTATTGCATGCTCTATGCCATAAGGCGATCGCAGGGATAATTCCTTCTCCACCAGTGACCACACTCTGCCTTCCAGGATGTCGCGTGCACTAGCTCAAGTCACTGTAAGAAAGCCTCAGCCTGTCTCTCCTCACTGCTCAAACGATGGTGTCATGGTACTAAGAGTGTTAGAACCGAAAATCGGTTTCTTGCTAGAACGTATGTGACCTTGGACTTGTTGCTTGCATCAGCTTCCTCCAAGAGGCTTTGAAAAGCTGGCCTTAGCATGCCTCGTCCCCCCCCCCCCCCATTTTCCTTCTGGGTACCAAGTAGGGAACGTGGGTTATCTCTCCTTTACTTGGCGGGGAGGCAGTCAGAATCCGAGTTTCTGCACAGAACGGTGGGCAGAGGGGTGAGCCAGCTGCCCGGCAGGCGTTCCTGTCTCTCCCACTGCGGTGGGAGATGTGCTGGGGATGCCTCCCTCTGCAGTGGGAAGTGGCCCCGGCCCCAGCCCACGCTTCGGATCCTCAGGAGGCACTGGCCAGAGCCCACGTGGCAGCTGAGCTCGGCAGACTGAGAAGTCAGGAAATCCTTCCTTTGACCTCAAGTCGAACAGAACCAGTGAAACTGTCCTGCAGCTCAGCCCAGGACCACACTTGTGCCAGAACCTTCTCCTTGGAGACGGCCCCAGGCACTCGCCCTGCTCTTGGTTCTGCAAAACCCAGCTACTTTCCAGGCCTCTGACTCAGATCAGGCTCCCATTGTACCCATTCCTTTACGGCACCTAGGGGCCTGTCACCCCCTGGACTTGCAGCTCTTCAGTCATGGCTGACGCTCCTGCACTCGCCACAGCACCCCGCAGACAAGCGGAGCCAGATGCTGACAGACCCCAGAGGCCCAGGAAGTTGTGTGTTGCAACCCCTGGGGAGGCCGGGACCTCGCACCCAGGCTGGCCTCTGGGTGTGGCAACTTCCCAGGTGGCACCCAGTTCAGAACTTGTTTGCTGACCCCCACCCCTCAGGGTGCCCAAAGCTGAGTCTGTGAGGCTTACACACTAGAGACAGAGGCCAGAGCTAACCATGATGAAAATGCTGAGTGCTTGTTCTGGTCTCCTTATCAACCTGAAAGAAAGTAGTATTCTCCCCATCACAAATTTATTTATGAGAAAAAATTTACTGAGTCGTTCTCTGTGCACTAAAGCCATTAGCAAGTTGCTTTTCTGTAATAAAATGATGGAGAAGTACATGCAGTATTTGAAGGTTTTGGCATAAATGATCTTGCATGGGACCTTGCTGACGATCTGGAAGTTAAAGGCAACAAGTAAAGCTTAGGCAGAGAACCGCAGTCTCAGAACCTACAAGTTCACACAGCTGACTTCCAGAAGAGCCCCCAAGTCCTGAGTGCGAACCCATTTGCTCTCATTTTAGACACATTTCAGATGGATGTGGTTCTGTTGAAATGGTATTCCAGCCCGCAGGGTAAGTCAGAGGTAGCAGTTAGGTAAGGGCTGGAGGAAGCACTCACACCATCAAGAAATGACTCTGACAGCCCGGCTGTGAGCAAAAGACTAAAAACAATTAAAAGCAGGTGTAAGAACTCAAGAAGCGTTGCTACACGTCCAAATATTCCCAGATGACGTGCATAGTGCAAAAGTGATGACTATAACGTCACTGAATTATTGACAAAGGTTAACTATGTATGAGGTATTTTTTCCTATGACATAGGCAAGATGCTTACAAGGATAAGATATTTCAGTATGCTTTCCACTAAAATAAAAAAATAAGACAGCACGGGCACGTGAACATAGAAACTCCCATTTGCTGAATCATTATTTTCTGATGGTATCATTCTTTGATGCCAGAAAAATTAGGTATCACTGAATTTAGAACTTGAAAATATGAACTTTTAAAGATATCTTTTATATCTGTTTAGAGTTTTCAATATGTAATTACTGAACAAGTATAAGAAACCCAATTTAAGACACACCTACAATTCCTAGAAGAATATATTATAAAAATACGGGCTGCACTTTTTTTGTATAAAGCCCATCTTAATCACAGAAAATATGTGATAGTTTTCAAACCCCTACTTAAATTCTCCTGTGAAAACCTGGAACTTGCAAGGGACTTGGGCATGCATAAAAATCCACTTTGAATTTCTTGAAAAGACCACAGCGACAATATTGGACGGATCTAACTGAATTAATCGGAGGTCCAAGAGATTTAAGTTATAATGAAAAATAACAAGGGGCTATCTGAAGTAGAATGCCATTGTCACCATAGCGCAGCCAGCTTTCAGCTCACAGAAGTCTAATGCACCCGTGAGAGTTCTGCTCAGGCCTTCGCCTGTTTGCCCAGCTGGGTTTTCCCAGGGGCTCTCCATTGGCAATCACTTCCGGTGCAGAGGTTAATGGCTGACACCGGAGAGCCAGAACACCAGGCCTGTTTTATGTAACTTTTGGACAGAACTCAGGTGATACATGATAACCAAAGTTATGGCCCATAATGGCCAATAACACAGAACTGAATGTAAAATAGTTTTGCAATGACAAGAAGTAAAATACCAGTCACATTATACAGCGGTAGAGTTTTGCAGTGACTTCAAAATGTGTTTCAGATTCACTCTTTAGGGGGGGAAAGCCCACTTAAAATTCAATGTAAACTTTGGTAAGACACATGTTTGTAAAATTAATCAGTATAATACTATACTTATTATTGCCTCAAGATTCATATTTGTCTTAAGTTGGAAAATCACATATACTATAATGCATTTTAGGTAAAATTTCACCACAGCAGTTATAGAAATCTTAACGAATAACTACTACTATCTTTTAATGCTTAAAATACATCAATGACCAAAATAACATTTTTCAGATGCAACAGATAAAATTATTGTGCCTTTCTGTCTTATCCTTACCCTGTAATCATGTTACTATATGGGCTTTTGAATTAAATAACTGAGCTATATAAAACCTGGCCCAACCCTAACTTTATAAATTTTATTATAGCAAAATTATACATAAGCAAAAACATTTTGTTATCCTCTGATTTCTTTGGATTTTTTTTGCTATGAAACTAACATAATTATAATAATGGTTTTAAAATGTCCTTCAGAAATATTTAAAATGCCTTTCTCCCAATTTCTGGTTTAGATGGACAGACTACTTTCTTTCAGTTCAATCGAGAATGCTCAAAAGGTCCAGTTTCTTAATGTTAATTGTTTGTTTTCTTTGCTCCTGTGGGTGGGTTTATTCATGAAGCCCAATTTCAGCCAACTTGGTCCAAGTTGCTGCTGCAGGAAGTAGTTCAGTGGCTGAGGGACCTAGAAGACCACCAGGTTGGCTCTGGGCAGCCACTGCGGCCTTGGGAAGGTCCTCCTATCCTGGGCTTCGTGTCCCTTCGTTTCTAAAACTCAGGGCATTGGAGTTGCTGGTCTGAGGTTGCTCTCGGCTTCACCTTCTGTGACTTGCAGCTCCACTGCCAGAAGTCAGTAGAGGGAGCACTTTTTCTACATCTCAGATTTTGACTCCATTCAAGCACCTTTCAGAAAATTAAGAGATTTATAAAGAACAGCCCTGAAACTAAACATTGATCAACCATCACCCGGGTTGTATCAAACCACAGATCTGATTCGAAATCCGAGCAGAGTCTAGGAACTATTTCTGATCTTGGAATTCCATGGCAAAGTCTCATGACAGTTATTTTACACTAGTTCAGAAGCCAAAATACTCCCAGATAGTAAGTGCCCCTGTGGGAGTGCTTTCCTACAGCAAGGAAGGAGAACCAGCAGACCGCAGCAGACAGACCCATGTCACAGACAAAAAGCGAGAAATCCATCAATCGTGAGAACATCAGCAAAGTGGGTCCAGCGTAAACAAACCACACAAGGGATTGGCAGGATTTTCTTTTGCACTTTTCATTGAGATACATTGGAAATAAGCAGGTAGACACAGCCAGAGCCTGGAAGTTTGCAAGAGTGGAAACGTAGACATCAGGCCAGTGATGGTAAAAGGTCGAATATCTGAGAACCTCGATGCTTTTCATCCCGATTACCACAGATACCTGAAAAACTGGGCATCCATTCTGTCTTTTCAATTATTAGACAATCTCGTATCGTATATTAAAGTTTTTATTCCTTAGTAAGAATTTTTTAAATCACAAAATAGTGTGGCAATATTTAGGTAATAGAACTTATGGAGTGCTGAAAATACTAGAATATAAAGATAATTTCTAGTTTATCTTCACATACTAAACTTTTCTAAACCAGCTGGTTTCTTGCAGACAGTATTTATTTTTTTTTAATAATTTAAGACAGCGTAAGCTTGTACCAAGCATAAGCATTGTAACAAAAGTGCAACTTTTCAGCAAATCCTCCCCAAAAGATATTTTAACTCAAAATATCATTAGCACATATTTTCTCCCTACAAAAATAGCATGTCAGACATCATTAATTGGATGTATTAACAACTATGTACATAAGAGCCACCTTGTAGGCTAAGAGTTTAACGTTGCTTAAACACAGCGTTTGAGGCAAACATTAGCAACAGCAGCAGCAAATGCACCAAACTGACTAAAAGACCCAGATATCTTCTTCACTCACAGTCAGACTGTTGTGTCTCACCCCTTACATAACATTCAAGTGAGATTTCTCACAGTGCTACCTTGGCAACAAACTAAAAATATCTAGACAAGGTCTTGGTTTAAGCCTTATTAAAAAAGCTTTCTTTGTGATTATCTGGTATCTGGTTTGGTCTCCAGAAAATACAGACTTGGAGATAGGAAGGCCACGGAGGGCTTCATTCCACATCTTCACAGCATCCCCACCAAAGCCCGCGGGCTAAAAGCTCTCTTCCACCTTCGCCACTTAGCAGAATCCAGGACAAACCAGTCTGGACTTGTTTTCTGTTTTGTTTTTAGATTCAGTGCACTTTTTTTTTTTTTACAGTAAAGATTACAAAAATTTAGGAACTGATGGATGAAATCATGGCAGTGACGCTAGATGCACTTGAGATAATCTATATGCATATATTTATCTATACACATATAAATCTACGTACATAGATGTAGCCACATCTATGTAGATAGATGGATGGACTCCGAAGAAATTAGGATAAGTCAATTGAGCCACGGTCAATTTCTCAATAAAGTGCTAGCAAAGGGACCAAGGGGCGACCCTGACCGCTTCCCGACTCCGGAAGACGCCCCACACGGCGCGTCCCTCCCTGAACAGGGGCGCGTGACTGAGACCACCGAGGACGAGGTGGCAACCAGAGCCGCGGACTCCCCTCGGCTCTGCGAACACGCATGCCTTCCCAAAAAGCCGAGCGTTACCAAATACTGGAGCGAACACCAATTCCCCAAAAATCCACCTGCCCACCCCACCCCCCCAGCCAGGCGGAGCAGCTCCGAGGCGCGCGCAGCCTGCCGAGACCCTGCCGTGCCCCCTCCCCACCCGGTCGGCGCCGATCGGGGGCGTGGGAGGGGTCCGCGCCGCTCCCCTCCCCCGGTCCCGGGAGCGCACCCGCGCAGCGGGGTTCGCTGGCGCGCGCGCGGCGCGAGACCCCGGGACGAGGCTGGAGAGGAGGCGACGCTTCCTGGGGCGGGGAGGGGGCTTCTCCCGAGAAAAAGCAGGGTGCGCTCTGCCGCAGAGGCGCTCTCCCCGGCCGCGGGGGAGGGAGCTGGGGCGCTGGGGGGGGGGCGTTAGTGTGTGCGGGGCGGGGGCGGCGAGGGGCGAGCAAACGCGCGACTCCCAATGTACACAAAACACCTGCTTGACTGTCAGCCCGGCGTGCGCCTCTGCACACCTCCTCCCTCACGGCGTCAGGGCTGCCGCGACCTCGCACCGGCGGGACTCCGCGGGCGGGCGCTCAGGGGCCGTCCTTGCCGGGCGGCGAGGGCTCTTCCTGAGCGCCGCTGCCGGGGTTCCCGGCCACCGGCAGGTGCGCGCGGCCGTGCGGGTGCAGCGGCCCAGGGGGCGCCACCTCGTGCGGCAGGAGGGTCGCGGCGGCCGCGGCGGCGGCCTTCTCCGGAGGCGGCGACAGCACCGAGGACAGGCAGGGGAAGGCGGCGGCGGCCGCGGCGGCCGCGGCGGCGGCGGCGGCGGCGGCCGGGGCGGGGATGCCGGGGTACAGCAGCGGGAACGGCGCGGCGGCGGCCGCCGCCGGGTACAGATACTTCTCCAGGCCGCTCTTGTCCAGGAAGGGCTGCACGTAGGCGGCGGCGGCCGAGGGCGAGAGGAAGTAGAAGGGCAGGCAGAAGGGGGCCGCGGCGGCCGCCGGCTGCGCGAAGGGCGCTCCCCCGCCTCCGCCGAACGCCACGAGCGAGCTGAGCAGGGCGGCGTCCGGTCTGAGGAGCGCGGCCGCGGCCGGGTCGGGGCCCAGGAGCGCGGCCGCCGCCGCCGCCGCGCCGCCCCCCGGGCCGCCGCCAACGCCAGCGCCGCCGCCGCCGCCGCCGCCGCCGCGGGCATCCAGCTTCAGCCTCTTGGGCGCCGGCGAGTCCTCCCCCGGCGGCTCCTGCTTGATGGTGACGCGGCCGGCGCCCGCCTCACGGTCCGGCCGGGCCTCGGCCTCGCCGCCGTAGCCGCTGTCGGTGTCCGTGTCGTTCTCGGCGGCGAGCTCGGCGCTGGGCTGAGTCCGCTGGATGACCGGCACGCAGTGCGCCGGCGGCTCCAGCTTGTGGCCCGCGGGGCCGGCTGCCGCGGCCGCGCCGGCGCCTTTGCCCAGGGGGACCTGTTGAGTCAACGCCGGCGGGGTGGGCAGGAACTGGGTGGCCACGGCGTGCAAGTGGTTGATGAGCTGGACGCAGCGCGGCTCCCTGGGGGTCCAGCTCTCGAAGCGGGAGAGGTATTGCAAGACTTCTTTGGCGCAGGTTTGAAATCCCGAGTGGAACGCGTCCAGGTCGGACTGAATGGGCGACTTCAGAGACCGCTCCCCTGGGGTGGGCGTGGGGTGGGGGTGCGGGGCAGAGGCATGGAGGGAGGCAAGGAAAACACAGCCGGTGAAGCATCTGCCAGTCACGTGGGCCCTGCGCCGACTGAGGGGACCTGGGCTTCTCCTCCGCCGGCTGCCGGGGGGAGGAGGAGGAGGAGGAGGAGGAGGAGGGCGGCGGGGGTGGCGTGCGGGGAGGCGCGCTGCTCGCAGCCAAGACCCCGAAGTAAGACAGGGCGCAGCCGCCACTGGAATACAACCCGGCGCCTTCCCTAGGGTGATGCACCGGGGAAACGGGCCCCTCCCGGGGACGGCACCGTCTCGGCCACGGAGCCCACGGTAGCGAGCTCGCGGGCCTGGGGAAGGGGTGGGGGCGGGGCGTGCGAAGCCCGCTGCGCCCGGGGCTGCCCTGCAGGCCGGGCTGGCCTCCCCCCACCCCCGGGCCGCGCTTACCATTCTGCAAAGCGAGGATTTTCTGATGCTGCTGTTCGGTTAAGGCTGTTAAAGCTTTCAAGTGTTTCAAAGTTAATTCCAAGACTACGGCTTTCTCCAGATGCCCCAGGGTCTGCAGCGGAGCAAAACAAAAAAGAAGGGGGCACTTGGTTACCTACCCCCCCCCAAAAAAAAAAACCCCACACATCCGGCTTCCTCGGCTGAGCTCCCCCCAGCACAGCAACTCGGGCGCACACTTGGAAGGCGTACGCTTCCTGAGCCTGCGTCCCAGCGGCCAGGTTAGAAATGCCTGCCTGCCTGCCTTAGCTGGGAGCCCTACTCTGAGTCTACGGCACAAGTTGTATGGCAGGCCTGGAATATTTACATTGATTCCTCTCCCTCCGGGAGTCCTCCCAGGCTACCCACACGCCCTTGGAGAGCACCAGAGCGTGGAAATGTGCGTCTTACTGTCAATTTCAGATGTTCAGGCAGTAAATCTTTCAGCTGAGCGATGCACTCATTAATTCGGTCTCTTCTTTTCTTTTCTATCAATCTGTGCGGTAATTTGTAGGTATCCTTAATGTGTGCGAGGCGTGGGAGAGGGAAAAAAAACAGTAAGCTGAATATTCACTTTCTGGGTACAACATCCCCCTACCCCAGCGTCCCCCCCATACTTATGTGATAAACTATGCCCAAGAAATCTCTTTTCTTCTGGACTGTTCTGAAATGCGATTTAAATTCAGGTATGATGTTTGGTATCCCCCTGAGAACAGCCAGTAAGGCTACTTAAAATTCAGTTGGGCAGAGCTTCCCTGTGAAATCAATGGCCCTAATTAACTATCCAGGCAGGTTATGCGAAACATGGGAAACTTAGACTTACCTTGGTGTCGTCTCGTTTCATGCCCCTTTTGGGCTTGCACATATACAAAGAGGAATAGTCCAGTCTGCAAAAACAGAAATCAGCAATCAGGCACCATTCGGGAAGGGGTTCTGCCCTCGCCCGCTCCATACCACTTTCTGGAAAAGCAGCAAAAAAATTTAAAAATTAAAAAAAAAAATCAGACCGAAGCCTAGACAGGGATTCGCAAGGGTGCGTGCACCTTACCCTATAAAATCTCTATGTTCCAGTAACTGTCTCTCTTGCAAATGCGGAATTCCTTCGTCCATGTTCGAGCGGTCCGTGGCCTCGGCTTCGGTTCGGGGGGATCCGCGCGTCTCCAGGCGCTCTCTCGCTCGCTCGCTCTCCCTCTTCAGTGCGGTGTGGAAAGTGTGAAGCAGCGGGCCCCCCCGCGCCGCCCGCCCGCCCGCTCGCACACACGCGCGCACACACGCGCGCACGCACCCTCGCCCGGCCCCGCTGCGCGGCTACTTTGCTCTCACTCCGGGCAGTGTTTGGCCACAGGGCACGCGCGTCGCCGGCCAGACCAGCACCCAGCTCACGTGCGGAACGTACCATCCGCGGTCCAGCCCGGAGGGGGGCGGGCGAGGAGGGGCCGCGCCGGGAGGGGGCGGCGGGACACGGCGGCGGGAGGGGGCGGGGACACCTGACCAGGGCCACCGGAAAGGAAAAACAACTTCGGCCAAGCGCTTCGTCTCCCCGGAGGCGCTGCAGGCGGCGGGGGGGGAGGGGCGGGGAGGGCGCGGGGGGTGCGGGGCGGCCCCGCTTCCCCGGCTCGGAAACGCGACTCTCCCCGTGCGTCCGTCATTACGGTGCAGAAACGTGAACGTGGCTTTTTTTTTTTTTTAATTTTTTATTTTTTTCGCTTTCCACCGACTGTGCCGCTGGCTTGGAGCGGAGAAAGGAAAAGAGAAAGAGCCTTCGCGGCGGGTCCCACTCCAGGCCCGAAAGAAAGCTGCAGACTTTGCGCCCCCGCTCAGCGGCCTGGAAGGGAGGACCCCTGGGCGCTGGGGGCAGGTTCCCCTCACCCCCCGCCCCAGGAAAGGGGGCAACTGGGCATCAGCCCCCGGCCCCCTGAAGGGCTTCAGATGCATGAAAACGCAGTCACTGGGACCGAGTGTCCCTGGGCCACCTAAACTTCCCGCAGCGGCCGGAATTGCGGTGCCACTCATCACAGCCGCAGCTGACGCCGCCCGGGGCCCCGTGGGCTCCCGGAGGAGCGCGGGCGGGGGGCCGGGGCGGGAGGAGGCGGGGGCTCCGGCAGTGCGGCAGTTGCCGCCCGCCAGCCCCCCGCGCCCCGGGCGGCGCCCGCGTGCGATCAGCCACGCCGGGCGTGTGCAGAGCCCACGCATACTACCGCTGGCACCTCCACAGCCTCCCTCCTTAATCCCGTCCCCGGCGGGTACCAGCACAGGGCCAGCAACGTGAGCCGACCTGCCGCGCTGCCACATCACTGCGCGGGGAACCCGTGCGCGCGCGCGCCCTGCAGCCGCGGCGCGGGGCGCGGGGAAGCACGGGCCGCGCCACCTCTCGCCGGAGCCACCCGCGAGCGTGACTCACGGCCAGCGGGAGTCGCCGGGAGACGCGCACTGCCCGCGCCGCGCCGCGCCGCGCCCGGCTGGGGGGCCTTGGAGGCCGCGGAGAGCGCGTCCTGCGGGACTCCCGGGTCTGCGGCCCCGCTGCCGCCAGCTCCTGTCTCATGACGCACGTTCACAGATAACGCTGCTGACAGTTTATGTAGCCATACATATATAAACAAATGTGGATCTCCCGCGGGCTGTTCCTGCGCCCAGCCCAATATTTACACTCTCCCCGGTCATCTGCGAAAACACTGGTGACGGCCAGTGGCACGTGAGCCCCGGGGAGGCGGACGCCGCCTGCACACGCACCGGGGCGCAGCAGGGAAGGGGGCCGTCGCTACGTGTCCCCCGGCCCGCCCCGCCGCGCGCGGGTTCCGGGCGCGGATCTGGGTCGCGGCGAGCGCGAGTCACGTGGCTGCGGGAGTCGCGTCTCCTCCCCGCCTCCGGGAGCCGCCCGGGCCGCGGCCGCGCCGCGCTGCTGCAGTCTCCCGGGTCCGGGGCGGAGACGCGCGCCGCGTCTGGCTTCGTGACTCGCGCGCCGGCGGCCCGGGCTCACCCCGGCGGGAGGAGACGCTCGCGGGCCGCCGGGTTCCCGTGGGAGGCTTCTGGCCGGGCTTCAGCTTCTCCAGCGGGGGACGTGCTCTGCACCAAATAGGCAGCGGAATCAGCATACAAAGTGAAAAGGCATTTAAAAAAAAATGCTGCTTTTATTTCAAAACCCGATCCGCTCTTCCCCCGGTTTCCAAGCGGCTAGATGATTAATTCCCTCTGATGAGGAGGGCAAGTTGGAACCCTAAGAGCGGCTTCTCCCTGCGGCACTGTGTCATTTTTTCCTCTGCTTCTTAACGCACCAAAAAGTGAAAGGGGGGAAGGGCGGGGCGGGGGGGGGGAGGTGAGGTCACTAAAGTGAATAATTGAAAATTCAGGACCCCAGCCCCTTGTAGAGGGGAGTGTGTGTGTGTGTGTGTGTGTGTAAAATTTTGTTCCAGAACGCCACTTCACAAACGATGAATATATAGGGAGAACGCAATGAAGACAGGATCCTTGCATCCTGGCGGGGCCGCTGGAGCAGCGAGACAGCACGCAGGCATCCTGCAGGGCAAATCCGAGGGCCAAGTCCAGGGCTGCCCCACAACTGGTTGGGGCAGGAGGGACCCGGACCGGAGCCCTGAGCATCTAGGGTTCCGTGAGCAGGTGAACGCCCCACGATTTCAAGCAGGCGCTGTGCCCGCAAATGAAGCTTTCACAAAAACTTGTCTTCCCCTGCGTTCCGCTCCAAGCGTCCCTCTTCCCACAGCCAACATTTTTTGTTTTCCTTTTCCACACCTTTCCGCTGCTGATGCAAGCTCGGGCTGTCGACGCGCTCTTTGCCAACGTGTGATCTCCTTCGTTATTCTTGCTGCTCCTTTTCCTCTCTTCTTTTTCATGCTCACCGTTTTACTCATTCCCCCTTTCTTCTGTCTTTTCCTTCCTTTCCTTGTCTTTTTTCTTGTCCTTTATCTGTCTCTCTTTCCTCCCTCACTCCTCTTTTCCCTGACAACCAGGAGGTGGATTCGCAAAGTTAGTGGGAAATGAAATTGAAAGGTAAGACGTTTCTGTTACACAAACATTTGAAACCCATGCATAGTAGGCTTCTTGCATGAACTTTTTAAACACGCCTAGTATATAGCAGGATTAGAGCAGCAGACGCCATTCTAAGCCTCACACGGTGCACACATTCATCCTTTCCACAACCCTATAAGGTAGACGCTGTCACTGTCTCCATTCTAGATGACAAAATGCTTCCCCAGTGAGATTAGGAACCGTGTCCAAGTTCCCAGAGCCAGGTCCATGACCCACTGATGTGAACAGCAGGAGCCAAGGTGTGAGGGCTGAGCACCTGCCGTCACCGTGGTCTTCGGTTGATGCCCACCTTTGTTGCATTGTGCGTGTCAGAATGTGTGGCGTGAGTTTTGCAGGAGAGAGAGAGAAGGGAGAAAGGCTGGCACTGCGCCCGATGGCAGAGGCTGGACCGGTGTGACAAAAAGAAGGGTGGCGATGTTTTTGCCATGCCTGTGAGTCACTTGGCCAGCATCTGGCTCCAACTGTATGGATTTAAATACAAATATCCCAATTGGTTGTCATAATTTCCTACAGACGGACAATAGAGGGCAACTTGGAAGAGACTGATGGCTCACCATCTCCACGGAGCAAACCACACCAAACTCTGCCAAAAGCTTGAGGTCAGCAATGGGAAAAGCTCACCTGTGGTGAGGTTAGAAGGAAGAAAATCTTCACCTGTCTAAGAAAGGCACAGACAGCGGAATGCTCTTTGGAAATGTCTAAAAATAGGTTGAGTCTTATCTTTTTAGGAAGGCTTAAATGCCGTCCTGCTGGAAACCAAGATTCAGGATGAGCGCAAAGCCCCTTTGAGCTTATAATTAAAGAATTTTGGGATGCTTGCTTTGAATGAAAGATACTCATCTTTCTCCTTTTCATGGATCGCGGAGAGCTTCTGCCTTTGCTCTTCTTTGGTTACTCAGGGAAATCACTACCTGTAGAGACTGAAGAAATCGAACATGAAGCTCAGTTTTCCCCTCTGCCTAAATGTTCAGAAGGCCTGCAGTCATCGTACGCACCCTCTAACTTGGAAATATCTTACCCTGTTTGCTTGCAAAGTCTTGGATTTCCAACAGAAACTGAACTCTCCTGAGAATGTTAACATTCCCGTGGACAAAAGAGATTTTCTGGTTTTTTAGGGTTCTACAAGCCCTAACCCTCTCTGGAGAGGTGACTCCAGGGTGTTCTGGGGACCCCAGGTCAGACCCAAACTAACTGTGCATCTCTGATGATGTTAAAGGTCCAAGGTCAGTCCAGGGTGTCAAGCCTCCTGCCTGTGATGCTGTGAACACAGTCCTCAGATGGTGCTAGGATTTGGGTACTAGTCTGATGTTCAATGTTCCCCGGAGGCCCATGTGTTAAAGACTTGGTCCCCACAGTCTCATATTGCTGACACGACAGGAGGGTGGAAATTTAATCCAATTATGGGTGTGGAACCACTGGGAAGTGATTAGATTGGATTAGGTTGTTAGGTTCCAGCCCCCTGAATGAGTCCTGGTGACTTAGTGAGGAAAGACACAGACAGACGGACATGGTCCTTCTTGCCATGGGATGCTTCTGCTAGGCAAGAGTGCTGTCACCACATACTAAGCCATGGCAGCCACTGGAGCTTGGACTGTGAACCTCCAAAACCAGGAGCAAAAATAAACCTTCTCTATTTACTACTCAGTTTTCTCAGATCTCACATTGCAGTGATGACAAGCTACCTCACACAGACAGGCAGATGCTTGTCCTGATCACCTCTCTATGGGACAGTGAACACGAGTTAACAGCCAATTCACATCATTTTATATGAAAAAGAGGACATATAGTCCATAAAAAACTAAAATCGAAGCCTGGAGAGCAGGGGTGGGACGGGATAAGGATCTTTGAAAGCTTCCCCAGGAACTCTTCCTGGCTTGTGCACCTGCTCTCAGGGCAAAGGGCTGATGTTGTCAGGCACACGGCAGGAAGAAGGGTGCCTAGAGAAAGGATCTCAGGAGGGAGGGAAACCCCAGTGCTACTCACTGGGAGCCAAATACGGCTTTAAAATATTGACGATGTTACTTGCTGAAGGTATCAGATTTAAAACCCCAGAATAGAAGGTTAGGCGTTCCAACTGCACACTCAGCAAATCAGCTGAGTGGCACATGGGTCCCCTTTGAACATGTAAAGGAAGTTAGGTCTTTCCACAGACTACAAGTCAATGTGCCTCTGTGGCTGAAGCATGCATGGGATTCACCTCTATGCTTATGTCCTACTACCCAGCACTTGTTTATTTACTCATTGGTCTTTGAGTAGCACCAAGGAGATCACATTAAGCATAGGAAATAAATTTTCTTCCTGCTGGAATCATTTGTATTTCTGTACTTAGGTCACTTTCACAAACATATGATTTAATGTGTTCTTAGTGCTGCTGGGTTATTGACATACAAAAAACACAAAGCAAAGAGCCACACTTGAGGCTGCCACAGGGGAAATCGCCCAACCCAGGACTTTCTGCTCCCAGTCTCCCTGGGCCCCTCCAGCGTCCCTGAGCTTCTCCTGCTGATTGCAGCCGATCAACAATGAGGCAGGATGAGGGTGGGAGGAGCTGACAGACCCCTAAGGACTGGCACTAAGTGGCTCTTACGCTTTGCCAGGATTTTTGGGTCAGTTGGGGAGTGGCACCCAGAAGGGCTGCATGAAGAGGGGGCTTCTTACCTCTGCGTTTCCCATGTTACTACTGATGAAGATTCTCGCAAAACCTTCAAAGGAAAACATATTTATGCAATGTAAAGTACGGTCAACTAGGACAAAAAGACACCACTGTACAGCCACTTCTGTCACTCACCTGCCTGTCCGGTGCTTCGTGACGTCTTGGAATCAGTTGTCAGATGCTGTTCTCAGCACACAGGGCCATCTATCATAGAGGGTGCTCTTTGTAAAGACGAGGGAAAGACGAGGTAAGGATTTTACCCACACTTGGAATTAGGATTTTTAGTGTAAGTCTTATTTAGCAAGATTTTAAATTGAATATTATTAGAGAGAGATGGATAGAGGAAGAAAGAGTGAGTTCCCATCCTCTGATTTATTCCCCAAACCACCCAAGGCTGGGTGGGGCCCAAACAGGGAGCCAGGAATTCAATCTAGGCCTCCTGCTTGGGTGTCAGGGATCCAACTGTCTGAGCCATCAGCTGCTGTCTCCCAGTCTGCACTAGCAGGAAGCTAGAATCGAGACTGAGAGCCAAGACTCAAATCCACAAAGAATGGGACTATCTCGATGGGTGTATTATCTGCTAGGCCGAACACTTGCCCATTAACAGTTAATTTAACACAAGGATTCCTGTGTAGTAATTTCTCCCCCAGAGGTAATATGATTCAAATACTAATTTTAATCTCACTCATAAGGAAAATAATGGAAATCTAGGCTCTATGGGAATATCAGTTAAGTGGTAACTTTGAGCCAAAGTAACAGACGCTTAAACAAATGAGCATTTCTGTTGTGAGCATATAGAAACAAGACCAGAAGCAAGCAGTCCAGAGGGGAGGGAAGTAGCAACAGTGCCACCAGTGTCTCAGACCCCGTCTTCTTGCTCCGCTCTTCTCCGTCCTCCAAACTCAAGATTGCCTCATGGACATAAGATGGCTGCTGGAACACCTGCAGGAAAGGCTATTACACTCCACCCAGTAACTTCTGCTTACAAGTTATCAGTCAATCCTATTGCAAGGAATACAGTTTTACAGCTGAAGCTCCCCAGCATTATAGGGGGGCTTTTTAATAAAGTGGGAGCCAGGAATAGACAGTGAGTTGGCACTTGCCATCCTTGGCTCTTTTTGTCTCTACTATGCCATGAGAGTTGGCATTGTCCCTTTCTTATACCCAGCGACTTCATTCCAATCTCAGAAAAATCTCAGCTGCCCATCTGCAGTTGTGCAAACTTAACACCTCAAGCCCGTGGTCTTCAGCATCTGTATTTTTGCATTATAGGAGGGCATTGTAAGCCCCTGTCCTTCATCCTGTAGATTGCAAATTGCAGACGCGCATTTTCTGGGGCAATGGTTGTCTTTCTTTTGAAGTGGCAGCACCAGCTCCTCTGGCTGTTCTGTCTCTGCAGCTGTGCCTTCGGTCCCTGCCATCTGGGGACACCAACTTCCAGCAGAAAGTCACTCTCTGCGGGCTCCCAGCAGAATGCAGCCAGGACGTGGCACTTCACCCACTTCCAGCACAGCTGTACACCACAGTCTCCACAGGGGCAGGAGGTTTGGGGCAGAGCTTCGTGGTGACGTTTGGTCCTGGGGTAGACGCAGTTGCTTGGACAGGGATGACAGCAGTGATTTTTTTTTTTTTTTTGACAGGCAGAGTGGACAGTGAGAGAGAGAGACAGAGAGAAAGGTCTTCCTTTGCCGTTGGTTCACCCTCCAATGGCCGCCGCGGCGGGTGCACCGCACTGATCCGATGGCAGGAGCCAGGTACTTATCCTGGTCTCCCATGGGATGCAGGGCCCAAGCACTTGGGCCATCCTCCACTGAACTCCCGGGCCACAGCAGAGAGCTGGCCTGGAAGAGGGGCAACCGGGACAGAATCCGGTGCCCCGACTGGGACTAGAACCTGGTGTGCTGGCACCGCAAGGCGGAGGATTAGCCTAGTGAGCTGTGGCGCCAGCCTGACAGCAGCAATCTTGCAAACACTGTTTACTTCTCACAATTCTTTGAACTGAGCGCTTTGAACTCTGCTCTACAGATGCACAAACTCAGGTTCCGAGACTTTACCTTGTCGTGCAGTAAAAGACACAGGCAGGGAGGAGAGAACCCAAGACCCGAGGTATGCTCCTGGCTGTTTACCTGTAGGAGTTTCTCCTCTCCCCATCTCGCCTTCCCCCATCCAAACTTGTCACCCCTCTTGTTCTTGGGAGCCACCGCCAGAGGCTCGGTGATTGGAGGGGTCGTCGACAGAGGATGGAGGTGGTGGCAGAGGGTAGTCCCAATGCTCTCTCATAGGAAGCAGCGCTCCTGACACTGGCGTGGAATTCTGGGTGTGCATCCTCAGATGGGCAGGTGCCTCTCAAGTTGTAGTTCGATCACCAGACTTGCCCAGAGACTTGGAGTCTGCAGTTCAACCCTCAGCCTTTAGGCCAATGTTTACGGTGATTATAGACGCAGTGCACTGGGACATCCACTACGGACCCAGTAGTGAACTTTGTCTTCACGGACAGTCCTTGTCTGACAGCTTACGGGGTAGGGGAGCAGACGTCCTGAAGAAGAGAGATCGCTAAGAAAGCTGACTTATTATGCTAAAGCTATTTAAGTTCTCCAAAAAGTCTCCACTTCGGTGCATTTGCGAAACACAACTATGCTGCTCCAGTAATGCACTTTAGAAATGACTCCAGTGTTGTCTGTGGCCTCCGTCCATGGGTGAGCCTTGTCTGCCTGGAGTCAAAAGACCACTGGACAGGAGAGCGCTTTGTACTCTGCTGCCCTGGCCTGCGGAGACTTCGTCACACCCACTCCAGTCCCCCAAATGGCCCTGATGTGGGTAGGGGTGCCCCTTCCACACCCACCCCTCCAGACACACAGCTTTCTCTTGTATCCACCAACCTGGGGTTGACAATTGGCTTACCTCGTTGGGGCTCCATGCCCTCTGTAGGGCCTGGAGGAAGTTCTTCCTTATCCACAGCCCCTCAACCCTGACGGACCCCAGTGGCGTGGGTACTCCCTGGCAGGTGCCTCTCACGGGGGAGATTTAGCCAGGGCTGGATTAGCTAACTGCCTCTGCCCCAGAGCAGGCTGGAGTGCTTCCCAAAAAGAAGGTCATTCCTTCCGATGGCTCATAGCTTCCCAAGTACAGATGTGCACGTCCTGCACAGCTTCCTCGCCGGCCGGTGCTCAACTCGCCCAACTCCGCTCTGGCCTTAGCCATTCACCCTGGAAACGGGCTGCAGGGCTGGCAGCTTGGGACAGCCCAATGTCTACTTCCCTTCCAGCTGCACGGACTGGATAGCAAATTTAGTAAGACAGTCTGACCTTTATCCAAAAATGTGATTCTCACTTCTTTTTTTTCTTTCTTTGCTTCTATTTCGGGTAAAGATTTGTTTCTTTGAAAGTCAGAGAAACAGAAATGGAGAGACGGTGGGGATCAGGGGTGACATTTTCCATCTGCCAATTCACTCCCTAGATGGCTACAACAGCCAGGGTTGGCCCAGGTTGAAGCCAGGAGCCAGGAACTTGTTCCAGGGCTCCCATGTGGATGTCAGAGACCCAAGCACTAGGAGCATCATCCAATGGCGCCCCAGGTGCATTAGCAGGAAACAGGACCAGAAGCAGAGCAGCAGGGACTTGCTGCACCACAATGCCAGCCCCTCTTTGGTCACTGTTAAGCCCTTGCTCTCCTTCATCTCCACCTCCACCACTATGCAATGAATTGCAATGCCGCATGGATTCTGCCTCTGAAGTGTACGTAAAAACATCTGTTTCTTTTCATCTTTGCTGCCTGCCCTCCAGACCAAGCCCTCATAGTCTCTCACCCAAAATACGATTCCTTCTTTATTGCTTTCAGTAGTTGAGGTGTTTTTTTTTTTTTTTTTTTGATAGGCAGAGTGGACAGTGAAAGAGAGAGACAGAGAGAGAAAGGTCTTCCTTTGGTTCACCCTCCAACGGCCACCGTGGCCGGCGTGTTGTGGCCGGCGCACTGTGCTGATCCAAAGGCAGGAGCCAGGTGCTTTTCCTGGTCTCCCATGGGGTGCAGGGCCCAAGCACTTGAGCCATCCTCCACTGCACTCCCTGGCCACAGCAGAGAGCTGGCCTGGAAGAGGGGCAACCGGGACAGAATCCGGCGCCCCGACCGGGACTAGAACCCGGTGTGCCGGCGCCACAAGGTGGAGGATTAGCCTAGTGAGCCGCGGCGCCAGCCAGTAGTTGAGGTTTAATAAGGGAAGCAGACACCATGCCAGATAATTCAAGCAAGAGAGATTTAACAGGATTTTTAAGAAAAAGATTTAAGAGACAGAGAAACAGAGAAATACATCTTCCATCTGCTGGTTTTCTCCCCAAAGTGGCTGCAATGACTGGGGCTGGGCCAGGCTGAAACCAGGAGCCAGGAGCTTCTTCCAGGTCTCTCACGTGAGTGGCAAGGGCCCGAGCACTCGGGCCATTTTCCTCCGATTTCCCAGGCGCTTTAGCAAGGAGATGAATGGGAACAGCCAGGACAAGAACCAGTATCCATATGGGATGCTAGCCCTGCAGATGGTGGCTTAACCTGCTGCACCACAGCGCCAGGCCCCAACGGAGGGGATTAAAGGCATATCTAACCTTTGAAAGGCCGGAGTAACAAAGGGAGGGCTAAATGGGTGCTATTTTTCAGGAAACCCCAACACCCGCGAGGTTCGGGGGCCTGAGCAGGAGCGGCTGACTTGCTGGAGAAAGCCCGCGAGAGCACTGGAAACCTTGCACCTGCACCCAACAACCCTTGCAGAAACACGGTGCAGCCCTTCTCTCCCGCGTCATTCATGACGTCCTCTCTCTGGCAGAACCCAGGGATTCTGGGCAAATGTGGTCCCAAGCTTCTCCCTGTGATGAGGCCAGAGTAGAAAAGCTGAGTTGGCAGGAGTTGACGGTTGCCATCTCACTGTCCACTGCTGCCGCCCACCTTCTCTGTCCAGAACACGGAATCCAATCAGCATGCCGATCAAAACTCCTTAACCGCTTCCTGCTTCCATTAAGTTCAAGTACAAATGGAGACCTCCGTGCCCTGTGGGCTGGCTCCGGCGTGCACGCTGCATGTCCTCTCTCAGCTCGCCTCCCCTCTGCCCTGCGGAATCCCAGCTCTCTGTCACATTTGTTTAATGCCCCTTGCTCTCCAGCCCCCAGGGCCTTTGCACAGGCTGTTCTGATCGGAACCCTCATCCTAGCTCCCTTCTTGTCTTCCTCGTGCTCCTCTTCATGAGAAATCGAGTTCCGAGACCAGGTCTGTCTCCTTCTAGAAGCTTCTGTTGCCCCTGAACTTCTCCCGCATAACACTTGGGCTGTTTGCAAGACAGACTCCTGAGCTGGTTGCGGCCCTGCCCCTGTGCCTAGGAGGAGGATGAGCAGAGAACAGCCCCACCACTGTTTGTCAAACGACTCCTGGGGATGCTCCACCACACTAAAGATGAACTGAAGTGCAGCTGTTCCAGGAATCGCCTAAATGACAAGTCATGGCCAAGTCATCTCATCTCAAGAGTCCTTCCACCTGTCGGGAGCGGGGAACATGAGACCGGCTCCCACCCTCCCGCCCCTGCACAGCTTTCCAAAGCTGGCATGGCTGTCGCCGGCAGGGTCCCGCTCCCTGCGCTGGGGGCGCTGCATGTTTATTCCTTGGCCTGACCGGGCATGTGAACATTAGGAAGCCAGCAGCACGGAGGGTTGGATGCGCACCCAGAACTGCAGGCACCGGGTGGGCTGCAGGGGCTTCAGGGAAGCACTGGGAACCGCTGCTGTCGCTGTGCCAGGTGCGACGTGATCTGCACTCAGAGGTCAGGAAGCCCTGGCAGGGCGCTCCCTAGCAGCCTTGGGAAGCTGGCACTTGTTGCTTGCAGGACTTTCGCTTCCTTTCACTGTATGCCTCAGCGAGGCGGAGAGACCTCAGGGGCTGGAGGGAGGCCAGGCGAGCTCCACAGGTGGTCCAGAGACCACGGCAACCTCCGGGGGCACGGCTTTCCGAGGCTGGGCGCAGGGAGGGGGCGCCGGGGCTTAGCTTGCCGGTCTGCTGGGCCCAGTGGCTCACAGGAGGGGGTCCTGGGGCAAAGCCAAGGAGCTTGGTTACCAGGAGTGCAGAGAGAAACAAGCCCCGTGCCAGGACGTAGGAGTCAAGCCGCAGACTCGGGAACAAAGTGGGAGGGTTGAGAGCCAGTGAAGCCAATCGGTGAGGACGCCAAGCTGGTGGGCGCGGGGGAGGCAGCGGCGAGGGTCAGCGCAGGGGCCGGAGGGCCGGGGGCCGGATGTGGGATGTGGGAGGCCCGAGCAGGTCTGCGAGCGCACTGCGGGCGGGGAAGGAATCTCCTGTCTGCACCCGGGACCCCTCTCCCCACACCCACCTTACACTTGTCAGTCCCAGAGTCCCCTTGCCCTAAGTGCGTTTTCAGAAAGACAGCGTCTCCTGCTCCAGAGGCTGCCACATCAGACCACACTCACCCACACAAGCCAGGGACGGGAAGCCAAAAGCAGGCCCGTGCGAGGCCCGACTCCTTCCACAGGCATGGCTGGCCGGGGCCGCTCTGAGTTGGTTTTGTTGTGGGATAATGGCACTGATGATTTTTCCGGAACCTAGGCTTTTTTTTTTTTTTTTTCATCTTACAAACTGCTGCAGAGGCACTGAAGGCAATGAAGCAGACACGTCACACGTCTCCGTCCGTCCTTGTCTGTTTTCACCTTGCTGCCCAGAGTTCAAGACGAGGAGGACCACGGGTCCAGCGCTGGCTTCCTGGAGGAGCACTGTGACCCTGGGCAACTTCGTAAGGAGTCTGCTTTCTCAAAGGCGACACAGGGAAGGCAGTGCCTCTCACCGACTCGCGGTTGTGACAGTGTGCGGAGGGCACCTGCGACGTGGCAGGTGAACAATCAAAAGTGCCTGCAATTCTCCCCATTGCAGCTGCCCGGTTAAAATTAGACAGATCACAGAAAAATACGACTGTTCGAAAATAACTGAAGAATTGAGTAACATATTTTAAGTTCAAGAAGTAAACCCATTGCTTCCAATGATCCTTTTCTTTTCTAGCAGGTGAATTAACACGAACACAGAAGGCCAGGCCTGTCCATGTGATTTTCCATTAATGAGCTATAAGGCAGGGTCCGCTTTATTCCATGTGCTAGTTGGAAATAGGGCCAGTCCCAAGCTTATGCTTTTAAATCTTATTATTCAGGCCACCCTTCTGAGAGGTCGCACAGTTCCACATGTGTACGACCGTGGCAAGGGGGAAATGCTGCTGGCCTACGCTAGCCGGAAGTTGAAGCCTTGTTTGGTTCTCAAACGAAAGACATGGCTGGACTCAGCTGCAAACTTTGGTAGCGGGTTAGGGAAGAGATTCTGGGTGATGTCTCCTTCACCACAGCAAGTCTAATAATGACAGCAAGCACCTTGTGGCATTTGTTCTGCGCTATGCTCTCTTCCAGTTTTGCAAATATTAACCCATTTAAATGCACATCCGCTAAATGAGTTATTGTGAAAATGACTTGGAGAGAAGGAAGAAACTGAGGCATGCGGCTGAGTCATCGGTCGGCACTGTGTCTGCAGCATCAGTGTCCACAGTCTATACTGCTCTCTCTGCAATGGCCTCCCAAACATCTGGGCGAAAAAGGGAACATTTCTACTCACCTTCTCTGATTTCTGCTGGGAGAAGAGCAGGCTCATGGTGCCAGAAGGAATGGCGGCCTGGAGTGTGAAACCCTGAGCACAAGGTTAAGTTGCCACTGTTTGCCTGACCTTGAACGACAAGGTGCC